ACCACCTAACAGTCTTCTTTGCACGATGGATGTTTCTTCCTTCTACACTAATATTCCACACTAAATGAAAAATATTTCGTCAATGTAACGTTTACATGTATGAGGTTTTACAGGACTTAGTTTCAAAAGCTGGTTTTCAATATAACCCATAAAAATGCTGGCATAATTAGGAGCAATTTTGGTAATATTCTTTATTGAATTAATAAATAAATAAATTGAGTTAAAACCAGGCTGGCAAGATCAGTTACTGTTTGAGATTCTGAAGGGTTAGAAAGGCTTAATGCGGACTTTAGAGCTTCTAGTCCTTCATCGACAGCTGGTCTTGAATAACTTAAAGAATTTATCTCATACACAAACTCCTTTCACAAAACAATAAAGTTTAGCTTTGATTACTCGAATTAACTTTCTTGACGTCACTATCTTATTAAAGGACGGAACTTTACACACCGATTTGTACAAAAACGTACAGACAGACCACAATACTTTCACTATAAAAGCTGTCACCTCGCTCACACTAAATGTAACATTACCTACAGTCAAGCCCATAGAATAAGAAAAATATGCTCAGATGAAACAGACTACAGAAAACACACCAAGGATCTAAAACAAACCATGTTACAAAGAGGATGGCCTGGCATGGCCAGGTGGTTAGGGTGCTCGACTCGCAATCTGAGAGTTGCAGGTTCGAATCCCCATCCCACCAATCATGCTCGCCCTTTCAGCCGTGGGGGAGTTATAATGTGATGGTCAATCCCACTAGTCGTTGGTAAAAGAGCATGTTTGGTGTGAAGGTGATTCGAACACCCTAACCATCTGGCCATGCCGGGCCCATTAGTATTGAAACAAGATTCAAAACTAAAGCTGATAGAGAAATAAAAGAAGCGTATATAGTTGAAATATAAATAAAATATAGGAAACTACTGAATTACAGAAGTCAAAATATCTAATAACTTTTAAAATAATCTTTGTGACAACATATAAAACATTTTTATGTCCAACATTGCAACAGTCTACATGTATATAAGCTACCTGTTATTTACTTCTTTTAAGCCAAACATTTCTGAGCAGCATCTCCACTGTAAAATTATGGTTAATAGCTTAAATTTTCTAAATGAAAGGTATAAACATTAAGCATTAAGAGGAAACAGACAAATGACCAGTAAGATGATATTCAAGATTTTTTATGCTATCAACCTATTAGTTGCAACTTACATTTGTATGTTGTATTAATGATTGCACACGTGAAAATTTTGAATAATAGACTAATAAGATTTGTTCAAGTCAAAGAAGTTTATAATAAAAAAGAGGAAAATACAACTTCGTAACCAATGTATATCAAATCATTCAAAATTAAAAGTTACAACATTTTATATAGCATACTTAAATGATTTATTAAAAACAAAATTCAGCTGTGCTGCAGATTTCTACTTTGATCTATTTTTTGGTTACTATAGAGTATTACTGCAAGTTTGCTTTATTTTACAAATAAATTTTCAATACAACTCTATATACAACTTCTGTGAATAAATCTACACAAGAGTATTTGGATTTTTTTTGGCAATGTAGACACAACACTTACATTTTGTGCATGTTTTTCTTTTTCCTTCTCCCAGTGGCACAGCGGTATGTCTGTGGACTTACAACGCTAGAAACCGGGTTTCGATACCCATGGTGGGCAGAGCACAGATAGCCCAATGTGTAGCTTTGTGCTTAACTTCAAACAACAACTAATTAGCGATCAAGTACTGTCCCCGTTAGTTTAGTTTTAAGCTGAGTTAGTGTGTGCTCATTGTAGACCAAATATTACACACATGCCTATGGTGTTAGTATAAATGCACCACTTGAGAAGAGAAACTAGAATAAAAGATAATAATTAGGTTAATTTCATTATAACAGGTTCTTCACTGCCTGACCAAGGCGTCTGCTCGAAATGTTGCACAAAATAAAAAGTTTTTATTTAGACTATCAATATATTCTTTATTTCCTTTTATCCAGTACGGCCTTAATGGACCTATAACTTATAAATTGTGTCAAATATAAAAGACTCTTTAGTGTATGTAGTATTATTACTTTATTTATTTTGTGTTTGTAATTCATTGATGTTGACGCTATGGAGATTTCTAGAAAGCCTAAGTGATAGATGTATAAATAGCTGCGACGAGACAGACAAGTGGAAACAGAGTAAAATTAAAGTCAGGTCAAAGAGAAGTTCGATCAGAGAAAAGTTAGAAAACATAAAGTTAATCATCGTGGGAGTGAATGGCCTAACAGTTGATATGTTAGAGTGAGATTAACAGTTTGAAAGAGATAAGGAGAATAATTTGTCTTGTCAAAGAGTGTCCTAAACTATTTGAACCCGCCTGTGTGGACTTTGACAAAAAGCAGACGATTATTGGAAATTAAGAATATAACTGCGGTACTCACGCGACAGCGTAAGTGAATTGAACGCGGATACTATTAGGACAAAAATAGTTCGGCTTGTCAGCTGAATTATAAAGTAATTGAATTGGACCATGTGGACTTTTGTTTGTTTGTTTGGAATTAAGCACAAACCTACATAATGGGCTATCTGTGCTCTGCCCACCACTTGTATCGAAACCCGGTTTCTAGCGTTGTAAGTCCGCAGACATACCGCTGTGCCACTGGGGGGCGTGTACTTTTGACAAGAAGAAGAGAACTGTATAGTGTTAAAGATATAACTATGATCTCCATAGTGTAAGGAATTTTTGTACATACGTTTTACTTGCTTCGAATGTATATATTATTTTAAAAACAAGTGCAGTGCATGCTGTTAGTTTATTGTCGAATTTATCTCAAATAAATCAAAGACACCTACTGTAGAAGATTTCCCCTACACACCCATATATTTACATTACTACATATACTACTGTATAAAGTGACACTCCGATAACACTTATATATATAAGTAACCGTTAGTAGTTAGTAACGAAAATAATTTCACTGCGGAATTTTTATTAGCAATGTTACGTCTCCGTTTTTTTTAATTGATTTTCCGTAACTTCGTACCGACGAAACTTAAGCGACACAAGCCTTTACTTAATAAAACTGGTTTATTCTTTCCGAATATAACTTAACCGATACACTCAACAATCGCTATAGCAACGAACGTCAATAATACTCCGACCGCAGATCAATTACTCACTATCTACACAAACTTTACAATCCCTTCTTTTATATACCAGCGTAACCTATTTCTAGTAAGAACTTGAACATTCGACAGAGTACAT